GTTATTTATTTTATCCCATATCACAAAAGCCAGCAGTCAACCAAATAAATGAATAGGCAGGAGGTTTAAAACAAACACAATAATGTACTTCCTCACACAACAGTTCTATCCCTTTCTTAATAATTCCTATAATCCTATTTGCCTTTTTGACTGCCGCTGTACACTGTGTGGAAGTTTTCAGAGAACTATCCATGGTAACTCCAAGATCTCTTTCCTGATCTGTCATAGCCAAATTAGCCCCCATCATGCTGTACCTATAGTTGGGGTGATAGTTCATCCCCTTCTCAGGAGCCATTATTAGATAAATAGTAGGAAATGAAATGGAGAAGTCCAGTCAAAATCTTTTCTTTTGAGAGTCCAGTTTGAAATGAATAGGTTGGGTCAGATTTAGGACAAATGCTAGAGAGTCTGTAGTATATGAACAATAGTGTAATCTGGCTAGGGAATTGTTTGTCCATTTCATGAGAGTAGATGAGGGTGTCTGCAGCTGTGTTGTGTGGTTTCAAGTATCATAACAACCATGCATCCACTGATGCAGGTCCTAGAATCGAGTTCTCTACCTTGAACTAGGCAACATTTGTTTGAACTGAAAGATGAACACGTAACACGAGAAAAAATCCAGTTAACAAGTAATCAGCAATTTCACTGATAATTGTAAGCATCCACATTCCCGCTATTTCGAAAGAAGTGTAATTCCTCATGGAAAGCAGGAGTTGTTGTTTCAAAATACCCAGCCCCTTTTTTGAAATCACAGGGTTGGTACCGTGAACACTCCGCTTGTTATTTTGAAATAAAGGGATTTATTTTGAAATAACTCCCTACTGTAGAGCAGGGCACTGGTTGTGGCTGTTCTTAAGTTCTTAGCTGGATAATACGAAATGAAATTGACTTGCTGGGTAACTGACATCTCTATGCCTGCAGTGCTCTGTCGTGCTACTGCCATGGAGTGGTCAATGAGAGAATTGCTCACACAATTGAATCAATGCAAGGAGTGCCCAAGCAAGCAGATGTGAACACGGTTCCCTGGGGAGTGCAGTATTGTGTGGTGTGCTGCATCTCTTTCTTGTGATATGTATCACCACTTGTGTATCTGGGCAGTTGATACTGTGGAGTCAATTTTCCACCACAGAGCCCTCTTAATCCAGCCCCCATATGCATGGGTGGGGGAGTGAAGTTGCACTTGGAGACGCTCCGTATTCTCCTCTATTACATTAATGTCTCGTATCGTTTTTTCACAGCAGAGCGTGTGTCCTTACCACAAAGTTTCTTTTGGAATTGGGTGAGGTTTGTGTTTTGCTTATTTTGGGCCAAAATTTCTAGAGTCCTCACTTGTGTAGGTCAAGGTAAAATGAAATAAAAATACAAAACCCCTCCCTCTGTGCTATAGCTATATGCCCTGCTTTGTACATGTTGGGCTCCCATGGCCAGAGTCCCAGGTCCGACATCTTTCCATGACACAAGCACCACAAACTTTTTGAGTGTGAGGCTGGACACTCAGCGTACGTCTGGACTGCAGAGCTTTTCCGGGCTCTGCCATGTCCAAGGAACGCGTCTGCTTTTCTGAAAAAACATTCGGAAAAGCAGATGTGTTTTTTTGGCATCCCTATAAACCTCGTTCTACGAAGAAGAAGGGATGTTCTGAAAGAGGGTTTTTTACTGACATTTGGCCCAGTGTAGACAGGCCAAATGTCGGAAAAGCCTCTTTTGGAAGAAAAGCAGAAAAAGATACGACTTTTCTTTGTAGTCTAGACAGCAGCAGAGCCAGTTTTAGGGGCAGGCTGTGACCGTATTTCGGTCTGATCTCCTGAATCTTCCCCCCAGGTTTTCCTGGTTACTCCCCAACCCCCCCTTTTTTTATTTAATTTTTTTTCTTGCTCGACAAATTTTTGTCCGATATTTTTTTTAAACTGTCTGGCAACACTATGGGAGAGACAGGCAGTTGCCCGGGGCTGCCAATTGGTTAGGACTGGCCCTGTTCAGCAGTGTTGTCGTACGCTGGTAAGTGCAGCCCATTTAGTCTATCTCCTTAACCACAAACCTGCTGCTTCCTGGTCACAAGTAGCATTTGGATTCCCCTTCCAAACAGGCCAAGAAAAAGCCCATGCCCTGGAATTCAAGACACCAGTGGATTCCCCACCAGCAGCCCACTAAAAATAGATACGTTTCACAGTTTGGGAAATGGATCAAGCAGGGAGCTGTCTGCCATAAACCAGCCCAGGAGAGGATGTTTTGTCTCATTTCTAGAATGAGGCACTTCCATCCATGATGGCCACACCTGATCTGCATAGTCTGTGACAGGTCGTGTGCATGTGTATATTTGTATGGATTAGAGTACAGCATGTGGTATCCGTTTATTGGCATGTGATATGTGTTCCATGAGTGACTGAATATTACCTTCATCTCCCATTTCCTGTGGCTTTTGTCTGAAAACAGCTTTCCTTTCCACTTCATTAACTTTGCACTCTGGATTGATGGTTTGATTCCAGGCCAAATCAAACAAGCAAGCACAAAAAACCCCCAAAAAACCCACAACCAACCAAATAAAACCAAGCACCTCTGCACTAAGATTAAGCTCTTCTTTATTTCAGTGTCTGCACACTGAGCACAGTGGGATCTGGGTCTGTGACAGGGCCTTTTTAGGTGCAACTGTGGTGCAAAAATAAACGTGATGATGGAATTAAGGCTGAAAATATGTATCAATCATTTATGGTAAAATCAATGACAGGGATGTTACCATAATCCAAACACTACGGATTTTAAACCCAGAAAATTCAGTTAATTTTGGACTTCATCAAAGATGGAATATATTTTTTAGGATTTCACCGAAACCTAATGCAGAACATTTGAAAACTAAACTCTTGTGCTACTTGTGTGTACTACTGTCTACTAGACATCATGCTTCATAGAGCATGGGAGGTTTTTGTACTGGTCTGTATCACTGTGAGAGGGAAGTTAGCAGAGTGCTTGCAGTAATAATGTCCAGCATCACCCGCTTCAACCCTGCTGATGGTGAATGTGAAGTCAGTGCCAGACCCACTGCCATTGAATCGGTCTGGGACCCCAGAAGGACGGCTGGAAGCAGCATAGATAAGGAGCTTCGGTAGTTGTCCTGATTTCTGTTGGTATCAGGCCATGTAGCTGCTTACACTGGAACTGGCTTTGCAGCGGATAGTGACTGTGTCCCCAGGAGACACTGCCAGGGATTCTGGAGTCTGAGTCAGCACAATCTGCCCCTTGGAATCTGCAGAGAAAGAATAAAAATTAGCAGGGCTGGGGTTGGATACATGGGATAATGACATTAACATAATTTAAAGATCTACATTGAAATAGTAGTAAATCAAACAGTAGAAATAAACTAACACTATACCTGAAACCAGCATATCACAATACAAACCATGGGCATTTGTCTTATGATTTGCCACATTCCTTTCAACATTTTTGGCACCCGTCTGTTCTTACCTTGAATCCAGAAAAGCAACAGGCAGAGGAGGGGAGTTGTTGAGATCATTGTGCTGCCTGGTGGTTGGAAATGCTCGTCACTTAGGCATGTGTGGAAATGGAACCATTTAAGTGTTCAGCTGCTCAGTGAGGAGCATGCGTGAACAGGCAAAAAGACCCCAGTTATGTAAATGGCCAGACGGGTAATGCCAGGGAGGAGTTTTGAGATAGGAGACTGGATGGTTTCTTATGGTGAGTGAGTGCAATAACTATCACATATTTGCATGATTCGAACGGTAGAGCAGCCAGATTAACTTTACAAGACAGGGGGGGTGACAACAGCTGTTTGTTAGTGATGGGGAACCAAGCAAGTGGCAAGTTGAGACTGAAATAAGATGAGCTAAAATCATTCAGTCATTTCCTGTGTGGGGATTAAATGCAGGTGGCCTTGTCTCTTTTAATGACCCCAATGTCATTATTTATGGGACCAGATTTTCAGGGCAGAAGTGGCTCCAGCAGCTGCATGGTTCTTTGCATTGGCTTCAGCA